GTCAGATACTTTGTTTTAATTCGTTATCATGAATCAAAATCTCTAATCGCGAATTAAGATGAAGTTGTTTCTCATCCGTCAAACTCTCTTCACTTGATCAAACTGATCCGCCGGTGAGATCGACATAGTTATTAACTATATTCAGAAATCAGTATAGTAGGTAATTATATATGTTTCTATGAATAGTTAACTATGTATGTTATTTTTTTCATTATAATATGTAACTATATTTTTAATAATAGTTAACTATGTATGTTATTTTTTTTAACGATAATATGTAGCTATATTTCTGATAATAGTTAACTATGTATGTTATTTTTTTCATTATAATAAGTAACCATGTTTCTTATAATAATTAACTATATATGTTCTTAATAGTTAACTATGTATGTTATTTTTTCATTATAATAAGTAACCATGTTTCTAAAAATAGTTAACTATATTTTTAAATTTGTAACTATTTTCTAAACATAGTTAACTATGTTTTTAGATAGTTACAAATAATGTGACATAGTTAACTATGTTATAAGATCAATTGAATAAGTAGTTTCGAAAATAGTTAACTATGTTATTAAATAATTAACTGTTAATATTTTTTTCGTCATTTTCTTTTCTGATTTTTTTTTAGAGTAGTTGGACAAGACACTGATTTACTTTTACGTGGTACAACCGATCAAAATTTCAAGAGAAAATTTTTATAGATTTTATCTTTTCTAATTTATCTTAATTACAATTGTAAGGGTAATTTCGTCATATTATTTATTCTCTCTTCTAGTTACCTAAATATTTTTTTGGATATGTTAGTTACCTAATTTCTTTCCCCGAAAGTAATATTCACCTAATTAACCCTTTAATATTTGTGTAACTTTTATATCAGCCAATTTATTTCCTTCTCTCGAATGATACACTTACTTGAAATTCTGCAATTAGAGAGAGAATATTGATATTTTGGTACAAATTAAGGTTTAAATATGGAGAAATTGGGTTGAATAACCAAAAAAAAACTATAATAAAAAAAAACTAACCAATTATCCTAAATCTAATGGACACAATTAGACCACATACGTTAATTTTTGTTAGATCCCTAAATTTTGTTTTTGTTTTTTGGCTAGTGAACAAATTAACCCTTAAATATGCCAAACATCTGACAAGAATATTTACTTGGCTCAGAAAAGACCTAGTTCTCTCTAAAAAGGTGCCGCCGTTGAACAGTACCAAAGTCGATCTTTCTGCGTTTTGATCCGGCGGCTTTCATAGCGCCGGTGCCGGATCTGTGTTTTATTTTCTCTGCTTTCCTTCCTTTTCCTTGGTATTTCGGATCTGTAAGAGGTTTTGAGGCTTGAGATTGTTTCAACTTGTGTGAGTGGGTGTGGTGAGGCTTGGATTCCGATCCGTCTGGATCTCTGATGGTGTGAATGGCCTCTCTGGTTTAAGCTGATGATGCGAGGTGGTATGTGGTTTCGGTTTTCTGGATTCGAGATCGCTCGCTTTTGATGCTTAGTTCTGGTCTCCTCCGTCTGGGTAAGATGCATCCCGTAAGCAAGGCCTTTGGTATGGGCTCGTGCTTCTGATCAATACTTCCTTTTGGCTTGTCGGGTATCTTTGCCGTGCGCCATTGCCTTCTCAAGGTCCCGGTTTTCCTGGTCGGATCACTTTATTGTTGGTTATTTGCTCTGTTTCATTACTGCCAGCGTTCTTCTCCGCCTCTGCTGTTGCCGGTTAAGTTGGTTCTAGAACGCGTCTTGGTCTTCCAGCTTTTTGGGTGTGCCTCAAGGTTTAGGTTCTGCTCGAAGTTTATGTTTGTTGGCTCAGTTTTGGCATTTCCAAGTTCTATGGTTAAGCTTGTGGGATTGTGTTTGATGGTTCAGTGTGTTGAGCATGGGTCGGGAATTATTCTTTTATCTTTATCAGTACATTTTCTCATTTGTTTTAGTTTCTAGTGTCTTGAATATGTATGTGGGAAAGCTTGTTTTCTATTGGCTTTGTTGTAGTGAACTTGTATCCTATCTTGTAGTCCTTCATGTATTTCTCGATGTTTAATATAATATTCTAGATGACCCAAACAAAAAAAATATGCCACACATCCTCGTGTGAAATGATTTCTATCAAGTCTTTGGAATCAGTTTCATAGATAACTCTTCGATAGCTAAAGCATGTTGTAGTGAGGATTGTCCATATATCTTAAAGCATATGCTTTTGTGTTTATCACCTTTCTCACATTCCGGTAGCTCCCCATCCATAAAATTTTGCCTTTTTCCTAACATTTGGATAACTTGTGACTACATTGTGAAGAAGAAGAAGAACCCATAACTAAAAAATAAAATAAAATGGGCACAAAAGTCAACAGAAAAGGTTGGGAGTGGGAGAAAGGTGTATAATCGTAAATTTCGTAGTGAAGCGTTGACTAAACCACACAAAGACAGTAACAGTCCCTATCTATGTATCCACACTTCCACTTGCTTGGTCCTGATGTGACATACGTGGCACCACACTCTGCACACGTCATCCTCCACTCCCGCCTCATCTATCGACACGTGTCGTCATCTCCTTGGTTTTCTCGCTTCTATATATTGACTGAGATTTGAGATGTAAAATTAGTTTGGATAAACACAACAAACACATAAACTTGTCGTTTCTTTATAAAATACGAATCCATTAACAGAGACCATATTTTTTTTAAGATTGCTTCCAAAACCAGAAAGATAAGCTTTTTTTGCTTCTAGTTTTATCAGATATGAGCTTTGTAGTTCGTCTTATTGTGTGTCTCTTATTGACGCTTACAGTTACATCTTCAGCCCGTAACTCTGTCTCCGTTTCAGGTTCGTTTCAATCTCCTCTGTTTTGTTTTCGATTCCGTCTGATTTTGGGTTTCTGATTTGATTTCGTTTGATTTTTTAGGGTTTGGGAAGATTGGAATCGAGAGGAGGTCGTTGGTGGCGAACGTTGAGGATTACGGTGATCCGTCAGCGAATCCAAAACACAATCCCGGCGTTCCTCCGGCGAACACCGGCCAACGTATCGCCGCCGGCAGAGGCTGACCTACACGTTAGTTAACTCCGAAGTGCAGGAATTTTGTTTTGTTTACTAAATTCTCTGTTTCTATAGCTTTTCTATAATCTGTATATTTCTCGTCATATCCAAACAATTTCTTCATTTTTGTCTTCAAGATTTGGGTATTAATTGAATACACAAAGTTTTCTAGTACTTGCTTTGTCTATGCATAGTGACTGAATCAAAGAGTAAGATAAACCAAGTGAACAAGGTATGTTACATCAACAACCAAAATGGGGAATATGGTTCTTGACTTCTGTAAACAAAACATAAAGACGCTTTTGACACATGAGATTGAGAACACCGTCGACTTAAAAACACTGGTGGAACATCAAGAAAGGTTCCACCTTTTCTATACCTTTCATGCCCAAAGCTTCTTTCTTCTTGATACTAAATTCAGAAGCTACCTGTGACGATGCTCGGTTTTGTTAAAGTTTTACTGATGAGATCTCTCAGCTCGATCTCTCCCGGGAATCTACCTTCTTTCAGTTTAGAGAAAACCTGTAATACAAACACCAGATCGTACAATTAACTGTGACTGGTCTTAACATATCTGGAAATCATCTGGAAACGTTAATAGTGAGTTAATAATACTAACCAGTTCTCCGTTGCAGTGAACTTCAAAGGCGCCTGAGCTTTGAAGGTAAGACTGCAGAAAGTTTCCGATAAGCCAAGTGGAAGCCATGGATCCAAATCTATTGGCCCTCAAGGAGTTGAGCCAAGCAGGTGGCTGCATAATTCCAATCATGGGCAAGATACGATCACCTGCAACTATCATACCAATAACTCCCATCTGAGCAACTGGCACAACCTTAGCTAGAAGGCGCTTTGGTGCTGGTGGTGGGTAATTTGCAAGAATCACATCTAAACCGGGAAATGCCGTCTCTAACATCTTCTTCATGGTGACTGCAGTTCCCCTGCATAAATTGATAGAAAGAAAAAACTTTTAGAATGTGCAGAGGTAACAGCTTTTAACATACAACAAGAATCTGATATTTTAAGAAAAGCTAGAGTAAACCTCAAAGAGTACTCAAGGAAAATCAAAAGCTAGAATACATATAGCTCATGCAACTCCGATCTTAATTTGTACTACTTTTCACATTACAGCTACAAATCACTCGAAAAATAATCTACAGAACTTGGAATGATGAAACGTTTGTCAGTAGTCTAGTCCACGGGAATCGAAACTACACATTGCAGCTTGAATAAGTCTTGAGAAAATCATAGTCAGTGTAAACAACAGTTCTATAGAAGCATATGTTGAAAGTACCAACAAGACTCACACCACTGCCTGAACCAAATCCATAGAGAATAATAGCCTCGGGTTTTCTGAAGTATAGTGCTGGAGGTACTGTTTGAGACTGTTTACATGGTTTACTTGCAAACCCCTCTTATGGAACCAAATCTCAAAATTGCCTAAAGGCAATGACTTAGTTCTTGATGACACTGAACCTTATCAGAGATTGATTAGAATGTTCACAAGTATATAACTAGGCCTTAGTATTTTTCTTATGCAGTGTCCAAGTTATCTCAGTTTTCTTCCTCACCGCGATAAAACGTTCTATGACTACACTAGAAAACTATAAACTCCAAGATAAATATCATGAAGGAACATTGAAACAATAACTCAACCTAACTCCAACGCAAAATCAAATCGAGGAAATTCAAAGGTAAGTAAGAAATTCGAATTACTTGTAAGAACATGAGACGCAGAAGTTAATCTCTACGGTGTTTCCATAACCAATTGCTCCTAACACGTTACTCTTCTGCAAAATAGAGGAACGTACATGGGCGATAAGCGAGAGAGGAAGGAATAGAAAGTGAAATAGAGGAAGAAAAATATACCTGAGAAGGGAAATCTAGGGTTTCGGGGATGCCCATCGCCGGACGGTGCTGGTGAGGGATATGCGGTGGCTGATGGGGACGGTGGTGCTGAGGTTTAGGAGGTGGAGGAGTGAAAAGGTTAAAGAGATCGGAACAAAATAAGAATATAGGTAGACCCAACAAGATCAATTGTGCCTTGTCCATGGCGGATTTCGATCGCCGATTAACAGAGAGAGTCAAAGAGACGGAAGAAGAAGAAGAAGTTGTGTAGTAGTAAAAGCAAATCGAACAACAATATATATGTGACTTGTTTGGATGCTGGAATATCTTCATCCTAGTCATGGTTTATGCCTTTACATTTTCATAGAATTCTTAATCTACCCCCATGTTTATAATTTAGTACATTTACACCCCCGACTTTAATCAGCAGAGATAACATAAGCCCACTCCTTTGGTAGCGGATTAACATTTTAATTTCTCTTGTTTATTTTTATTTTTGTTCTAAAAGTATGAA